CCCACATTTTCTTTATCCAGTCTGGAGGCAATTCTTGTAGACAGTGTACTTTCACATGGGTTGATACATTCTGTGAGATTAGAAAATGAGAGCACCATAGATGTCTTTCAGAGCTACCTAGTAAAACACCCTCTGAAATGCTCCTGATCTCAGGCTTTTGTAGGCCTATCATGTATAACCAATTTTTCCTTCTCTTTAATCTAATGTAAACTATACAATTGAAGATTAATGGAAAAGAGGGAAATGGCTTCACCTGCAACCAGGGAGTACTGAGTAGGTAGAAGTCCTCATTGAATAATCTCATGAGCCTCAGACATGTCTTGTCCTTATAGTCAAAACGACTGTGGAAGAGGATGTCAGCTATGACATTGCAGGGAGCACAGCCAATGAGAAAAGTGGGGTTAAAAGGCTGGCCTGGAAAACAGGTAAGATGTCAGAATCCATGTGGGGGCAAGTGGTGTGAACATGATCACCAAACCTTCCCCAACCCACAACTTAGTCTCCTGTAAGTCTTTGCCAATGGCCATGGCAACATACCCTAAAAATTTAACAAGCACAGAAGAGTGCATATTTCAGCCACTTCAGGTTTTCTTTACTTTTAAATGCTATCTAGGGGATAACAATCACACATGGTGGCCACTCTTGCTCTCCTTAGAAGAACAGCTGGAAACTCATCAGAAACACCAATATGCCCAAAGTCCCCTTAGCTGCCAACTGTTTCCAAGTTATTGAATGCAGTCTGAGGGCCTGGTCAAGAATCCCCATCCCCTGCTATATGGTGAAGGATATATACCCTGGGTCTTCCTGAGCTCCTGCAGCAAAAACCCAGCTTCCTTCTGGATCCGTGCCTCATTGCCCTGTTTTCCCATCCCGTAGTCTCGGAGTATGCTCAGGGAGAACCGCCGGACATCCTTCCAGGTGGGTCCATTATTGAAAATAATTCCTAAGGAAGAGGTTCCAGCAGAGGTTACTTCAAATGCCCAGTTCTTGGAGAGATGGGGCTGGAGTGAGAAGTGGCATGACAGGACTTTCGGGGTAGTGGGCTGGGCTTGTAGGTGCAGAAGAAGCAGAGGGAGGAGGGAATGTGGCATGCTTCTCTGGCACATTTCATCCCTTCTGGATGCTTTCTTCTTCATGGCACCAGTTTATTTTCTTTGGTTTTCCACTTTCCCCTGAACCTTTCCATGTCAAATAAAACTTCATGTGGCTACTTAAAGAAAGAATTCTCACCTCTTTTCTGCCTATTGACAAAATTCTTGGACAGCCTTTCTGTTCCCATGGATTTGAACTCTCACACTGTCAACATCACAACTTGGCTTTCTGGCTTCATAGCAATGGTTTGACTAAGATCCAAAGTTCACACGATTTCCCACTGCAGGGACCATTGAGCTGGGAAGATTGAATACTGTTCCTTCTATGTGCTGCTTGGTGGTTAAAACCCTCCTCTGCCCTCCCTCTCCTCCTGGCATGTGGCATGCTGGATTCTCCTGCAGCATAAAGACATTGAGAATCAGCAGATCTAAATATTTTTCCTTTAAAAATGTTGCGTCCCTATCAGAGTCAATCCTATGAACATTTTCTGTGCTTCTCCAGATACAGGCCTGAGTACCCTGAGCACTGTCTTCTTCAGCTTATCTCTCTGAAGACCATTAATCCCCTTGGGACCAGCTCACCCTGGCCAGTCCCAGCCAGTTCCTACCCAGCAGAGCCCTTATAATCCAGGGGCCCCTTGTATCTCCCTCTCTCCCTTCTTCCTTCTTTCTCTTACTTTATCCAGTGTCAGTCTAAGCCATGTGGCATGTATTAAAATAGGATTTTGGAAATTTAGGTGGAGGCAGCAAAGACTCCTTGAGACCAACCTGTGGAGATACAAATCCTGGCCCCTCCCTTGCTGCCTTCAACACAAATGCCTTGGACCTATGAGTGGTAGATAAAGGCCCCAAAGCAGGAGTGTTCTCTTTACAACAGGACCCTATTTTATGAAGTCTTCCTCCAACAACCTCTGAGGTGATGACAAGGGCTGAGACAATTTTGCTTTTACTGAGACACCACAGTAAAACAAATCTCAGTGTTGTAGAGGAAAATATCAAATGCCACCTCTTGTAAGATGCAAAGACTTCAGAAACAGACTGGAAAGATGTGCAGGAAAACCAAGAGGCAGAGCATATGGCTGTGAGGTCACCAGTTTAAAATCCCACATAACAGTCAGTGTCCAGCAGGTTTGGGTACCAAATGGTAGGTGAGGAAATCTGGTGGATGGAACCATTTACACTACAGAGCAATTGAAACCGTGAGTGGAAAGAATCCCAGGAAGTGCAGAACTAGAGGCAGATCCTGGGGGAAGGCTGGCTCAGGCCTTACTTTTCTGTAGTCAGCCTGGGTGCTAGGAGAGCCCAACTGGTTGGTATACAGTACTACTCACAGTAGCTTTTACCCATGTATAAACTATCACGAATTGGTCTGAAGTGTCATTTGGCTTTCATCTTCATTCCATGGCTGTCACTATTATTGTTAGGGTAAGATTTGGCTGGGTGGATGGTTTGCACTCATCATTGTCCCTGTGGGTGTGCCCCACTCATTGTCAGGAAGCAGACTCACCTTTGTCCTTGTATTCCTGGAACACGGGGATTTCACCTCGGCCAGAGAATTCATTCTTGTGGTTCAGCAGCACCTCCTTTACTGCCTTGTAGCCATGTAGGACAACTATACGTCGTGAGCCCAGGTGCAGTGTGAATACAGGCCCATAGCGCTTGGCCAGCTGTGGGGACCACCATATACAGTGGGTGGAAGCATGCAGAGAAAATGCCTTGCTCTAGAGCCCCCCATTACATTTATTGTGGTCCATCAGGAAATTAGATTTAGGGTAAGGTCATCTTTGTCCAGCTTAACACAGGAAGACTCTAGTCTGACCATCAACGTCAGGCACTTTGGCTCCTCAAGGTCCTTTCCTGCAGCTGTGGCTCCAGTGCCTGCACTTGTAACTCTATTGTTGCTTCCAAAATCAAGGATCTGGATCCCATGGTGCTGCCTGCTGACCTGGAGCCTGTGCCCCAGCCACAAATGCACCTTCTCAGTGTAAAATGATGCTTCCTAAAATACATACCAAGAACCGGCTCTGGGCCTTGTGACATTCTGACCTTGGTTAACTCACACAATACTCACAGTAGTTGCAGGAGGTTAGTGTTATTCTGATGAAGCACAAATTGCTCCAACACTTCATTCTTCAGCCTGTTCTTTGGTATCACATAGGCTGACACCAGACAGGTGCATCCATCACTGGCATCAGAGCTGGTCCTTGGCAACTATGGCCACACCAGTCTCCCTATAATCATGCCAACTACACGAGGCTTCCAGGGTCTGTGAAGCCAAAGCCCATCCTGAGTGCTCCATGCTCACCATCTATCACTAGGTAAGTGTTCTGTACATTACTCTGTATTAGATGCTATTATTCAGGTAAGTCATAACAGGCTGGTTTTAAATAACAGTACTTTGGCAGTGAATTGAATACACATGTATTAAATATAATTCCTGACTTACTCCCCCTAAAATTAAAATTATTCTCCTACCTTGGTGAAGGATTTGGGAATATCCTTGATATCCACCTGGAGAAGATTCCCAATAATGGGAAGTGGGAAAGGTCCAGGGGGTAGGTTCCAGCTGCTGTAGATCTGCTTCCAGATGGATATAAGCAGGAGGGTGACCACCCACACCAACAGGGCAAGAGTGATGCCAAGTACAGCCATGGCTCCTCTGGGATTTCACCACTAACTTGTGGTAATGATCCATGGAAAGGTAAAGCTTTTATAATGCATCTTTGAGAGGAGGGTAACCTACCAACCAATGCCACCTTCCTTCTCCCTTGGCCAAGGTGTTAGTTTATTATTAGTGGTGTTGGCTGTCATTTCAAAGGGATCCCTGCATCACATGTCTCTTAGAAGTTTCATCCAGTGACCTGACAAAAATGAGGCTGTGTTCTGTCAATACTCTGGTTACTGACATCTGTCACAGTGCAAATAAACACATCCAGGGACACTTTAATTCTCCAAATAAAATGAAAAGATTTCCTTTATTTAAATCTCTAGGCCAGTCCAGGAAATAGGAGACTGTCCTCCTCCTTGATACCAGTTGGAATGGTGGGGAATATTCAGATTATTTTTGCGAGTTTGTTTGGGTAGGATTTATGTAAAGACACACCAATAATACATTGGTCATTTCAGGAAAGGACCAGCTCAAGCAGCAAATGTCTCTTAATTTCTGATCAAGAGATTTGTCTAATTAGCCTCAGTACACTACTACTGCAGTAGTCACTACTTGGAAACTATTGAGGGCAGAGGTGGGAATTCAACTTCTGAATCCCATTCTACTTTGTCAAAATAACTGGTTAATCCAGTGGAAGGAAAAAGAACCAAAGCAAAAGTTTACCAGTTTTGAGAAAGTTAATCTCTGATTATTTTAAAAGAGGTATATTTTTATTCTAGAAAATTTGGTAGAAATTATTCTACAGAATAATTTTGTCAAATTCTAAAAAAATTACATTAGGGATTTTTATTGGATTTGTTTTATATCAATGAATTAAATTTAGAAGAATTTGTATTTTTAAAATAACCAGTCTTTGTTTATCCAGAAGTTCCACATTTCTTTGGACTTCTTATGTACATTATTTCCTTCATATAGTCTTACATCTACTTTCCTATTAGGGCTGTCTCCAGGTATTTTGTGAGTTTTGCATGTGTGTGTATGCATGCATATGTGTGTATGTATATGTGTAGTGTAAAGAGACTATTGTTCTTTCTGTTTTCTAATTAGTAATATTGGGAAGGTCTTTATTTGCATATTGTAATTTTATATAAGTAACATATCTTTGTGTACTGCAGAAAATGTGATGAAAAATAAGGAAAAAAATCCCACAGTGCATCCAAATCATTTGTGGATTTGGGCAATGGTCTTTTACTTACATAAAAATGAGACTAGACACCATACACTGCATTCTAAGTCAGTTTTCCCCCAGGTAATCTTTTATCAACATGGACAAGTCATTGTTCTGCCTTAAAAGCCACAGCTATGGTGCTGATGTCTGCTTGTTGACTCTCCTGACTATGGAGAAGTGTTACCTTCTGTTAGGGGCTTCAGGGACTTTCTTGCCTTTGAGGTAAGACCTGATGATATGAGCTGCCTTGCTTCTGGGTGGGGTCATTATGTGCCCTCCTGTTGACTCTTCTCCAGGGGTCAGTGTGGGGTGAGCTCTATCTTGAGGGAGAACACTGAGTTGTTTTGATCCCTGTACCCTATTCTCCTTTCCCAGACCCAAACAAGCCTATTCAGGGAAGATGCTCATGAGTTCTACAAGTTCCCTTGCTATTGGTCTCTCCTGGTGACAGAGGAGCAGAGTTAGCTCCCCTTTAGGCAGGAAGTCAAGGTGGGGTGAGGACAGGAAGTAGAAAAGTGTGAAAAGTGGAGCAAACTTCTGGCTTCCATTGGCTGAGAACAGTTACACCTCCACAGCTTGCTTTAACATGTATATCCCAGAGAGTCTAAGGCTGCAGATGCAGTCCGTAGCAAGGTCCCACTATATTGGGCCTTTTGGCTGAAATGCTGTTGAGGGTCCAATCAACATCAAGTTCTATATACAGAAATAAATATTTTGAAAAAAAGGATGTTTCTGTGGGCTTCTTTTTAGAAGCAAAGAATTTTATTTGTTTTACATCTCATTCAATTGATTGGACCTTCTAGGACAAGGTCAGATAATCAGGTTGGTAGAGGTGGCTGCACCATCTGCCTATAGCAGTGGAAGATTCTTCAAGCTTTCATCACTCTACTAGTTAGCTAGGTATGCAGAGAGATCATATTAGGACAGTTTTCTTCTCTAGTTCACAACATTGTACAGGAATGAGAGTTGAGTTAATGAAATATGTTTTTGATTGAGACGATCCCATGATTATTACCAAGATCTGCTAGTGTGATGCTAAATGAAAGCAGTGTCTCATATAAAAGTACACCCATAGTTTCACATCACAACCAACTTTCCATGGGTGATACTCTTTTAACATGTTAACAGTGTCAACTCATTAATACTACCGTTAATATCTTTGCTTCTATACCCATAAATAAAATTGGGCTGTTAATTTTTTTGAGTTTTATTAGGTTTTTGTGTAAGAATCATGTTAACTTTACTAATCGTAGAAATGCCCTCTATCTTTCTCTATGCTCTTGAGTACTTAAAATTGTAGAGGAATTTTCTGGACTTGGAAACCATGATAGACCTTGTTAGTAAAACAATGGAGTTGGAGTCTACTAGAGTTAAAGTATTATTTAAAAAAGATAATTTTAATAGAGAAAGTAAAACATGTCCTTGTAAAATATACAAATAATATAGATGTGAATGAAGCAAAAAGTAAGAGTTCCAAATCCACCCCACAGAGGGGTAGCTTCCATATTTTAAGCCCCTCTAAGAAAAAAACATGTTGCCAATTCTTTTCATCTTTTCTTATTTTTATTTTAAACTTGCTAAACTATTTTTTTGAACTTAGTTTAATTCTATGTATCATATGAATTTGAATTGCTATCCAGTGTCCTTTATTTCACCCCAAAGAACTCCTTTTAATATTTTTAGAAAACAGGCCTCTTTGTGACATTCCCTCAGTTATTTTATTTGAGACTTCTTCATTTTGCTTTCTTTTTTGAAGAGTATTTTTTTTTTCTGGATACAGAGGTTCTTTGAGCATTATGAATGTGTTGCCTCCTCCTTCTGGTCCCTCCAGTCCCAGTGCGCAGCTGCTGCTGTATGTAGAGAGTATGGCTTGTAGCGATGGTTCACTTTGCTCTGCTGTCTTCCAGTTTCCCTTTGTCTTTGTTTGATAGTTTGACTTCGATGTGTCTGGATGTGAGTCTCCTTTAGTTTATCCTACTGGAAATTTGTTAAGGTTCTTGGTTATGTAGATAAGTGTTTTTAAAAAATTAAATTTGGGGAATTCTCAGCCGTTATTTCTTCACATTGCTTTTCTGTTCCCTTCTTTTTTCTCCTTCTGGGGCTCCCATTATTCATGTGTAGATATTGAGGTCCCTCTGGTCTCTGAGGCTGTATTTCAACTTTTTTCTTTATGTTGACAATTTTTCCAGTGTTCTCATTACCCTTCTGGAGGAAGAGATCCTAGAGGGTCTTCCTCTGCCATTCTAGAAGTCTTCTCTTATCTGTCCTTTTCATTAGTAAAGTGAAAGTATCCCAAGAAATTTCTTGAAAATTTAAAATTTTTAAAATTATTGGTTAGAACATATCCCCTCCTATATGCAAGAGAGGTTGCAAAGTCAGCAACTTTCCAAGACTTCAGCAGTATAAATAGCTTTGTGTCCCTTTTGGTCACTGTGGCCACAAGTGTTTCCTGTTTATGTGGATTTAAATTATTATCTTTATTCATTGTAACATTTTAAGTATCTCTCTGAAACAAAATTGTTTCTTTATAAGTGTCTTGTAAACATCCTATAGTTTTGACATAATCAGAAAGTTTTTCCTTTCAGAAGGAGAATTATTAGCCATATTCATCATGTTTACTGGTAAATTTGGCTTTATAATGTGTATCATTTTCATATCTTCTGCTGAATTGATCATGTTTTCTTTGTTCCTCTTCTTGTTTGATGCTTTGAAGTTCCAAAATCCTATTGTTATTCTGTTAGATATTACCTTTCTATCTGAAAATATCTTTAGACTGATATTCTTCATTAACTTGAATAACTAACCAACAGCTTCTGATCTCAACAGAAAGAGACCATTAGCATAGATTTCTTCTTCACTTTTCATGCAATATACCACACCACCCCAACTCTAGGGAATTTTAGGTTCAGAATTTCTAGTTTTTAATTTGTTCAAATATATTTACTTCTATTTTATACATCAACTGTTGGCAATATAATTAAGATTCCCTTATCAAAAACTTATTTGCCCTCAAGTATACACTCTAATGATCTTTTTGTCTGTCTCATCTATGTCCTGTTGTGTCTTTTATCCCTGATCCCAGGCATGTGAAATCTCCTACCAGATTTAATGGGGAGAAAGAAGATAGGCTACACAAAGGGACACATCTGGAAGGTCTACTCCCCTGGCTCTCTGGCCTTTTTCCATAGGGCTGTGTCCTTGTTAATGGAAGATCACATGGCAGAAATATTTTCTGTTGGGCTTAATGCACACTCATATTCACAAGAAGGAAGTATAAAATATCCCAGAAGTTCTCTAAGAGGACCCTCAGTGGCCATAAATCCTTAGGGCACAATGGGAAAAAGGTAGAAGTGTGTTACTTTTCTTGATGTCCAAAAGGACTACATAGTAAGAAGGGAAGGAAACAGTGATGGTGCTGGAAACATGACCAGTATAATTGATTGGAGGATTTACCCCCGGGAATCTCTTGTTTTTATGGTAAAAGGCAGAAATATCTCTTTTCATTAAAAATATCAATCTTGACAAAAGCCAAAAATCTTTTCCAAGTAAAACAAGCAGAGAGCGAGCGGACAACATCACAGCGTCCAAAGGGCAAACCAGCTAGACCTAGAGTTTCCACATCAAGGGAGTGGGGTTCTATGCTATGTTCTCTTATCTGTCATTTGACTCATTCTCTGTCTGAGCTGCAGTTTAACTTTATAGGCACAAACAATACTGATTTCCTAGGAGCGAGGTTAGGCCTGCTGCGTGGAGGAAGCAGTTGCCGGTCTCGTCTGGGCTTCAACTCCTTGAGAGCCTCAAGGAGATGCAATCATTTCAAAGTAATGCTTGCGGGACACGCAGATGCCCACCAGAGGGCGC